ATATCATATATATATACATATATATATATATATTTATATAATTTCGTAGTATTTCGAATCTGTCTTGATTGGTGGTATGCGATCTTTTTATTCATCTGCATCTGCTCGAGTTGGTACTGCTACATCGTTCGCACAATCCTGTGAGCAAGCGGTTGTCAAAAAAGTTCATAGGCTCTTAAATTGATCTCCTTGGCTTAATTTTGCTCTATATAGTTCTTATATCGTCGATATTTAGAGATGCTTCGCAATCGAAATTAACTACCAGTTCTGGTGTCGTCATGGTACAGACAAAGAAAGCCGTTTTACACTCGAAAATCTAAGTTTCAAAACGCAAATCTTCCTACAACTTACTTCATGTTCTTTGTAAAGTCGGCAAGTGCGCACTCTGTCTCTGAATATTGTTGTTGTTGCTGCGGCTTCTCGTTTGCCCTGTATTTGCTCCTCCCCGTTAAGTGTTATTGCTGCTGTTGCAAGTATTATTTGGCGTATTGTTTGTCGTTTCTTGGGGCCCTTGTTGATTCTTTCTTCTGACTTCTATTTCTTGCGAAACTCCTTATGGACGATCGCATCATTTCGTACAATACGTTATTCTTACTCATTATTGTCTGATCTCATATTTTTCCTTCCACCCCACTTTCGATATGCTCACCCTCCCAAACAGCCAACGATGAATTGTTCGAATCTCTTTTTTCCCTTGTACAACTGCTAGCACCATCCTTCCGAATTTCAATTCAGTGCTGCCCACAGACTACCACCGTGTGAGGGGTCAGTGAGGAAGCAGTGATTTGTGATCCAGACTAGAGTGGTTCGAACACCACGTTGACCGCGTACTTGACCATTTCAGCACGAGCTTGCAGATCATCTACTCCTCTTCATTTGGATCTTGGTGGTGTGACTCCTCGTCTTTGACTTGAGACGCTCCTTCCAAGTCCGGCCGCGGTGCCGCCCCGGTTATCCAACAGCTGTTCTGCTTTCCTGTGTTCTGCTTTCCTGTGTCGCGTCAACTCCAGGTTACTCACTCACTCATCCGTCGGCGCAGGGTAGTGGTGGGGTCTTCTACGCCCAAGAAGTCAACTTCGTGCAGAACTTGTGACACAGGCCGATCATTCAACTTCTTCTGTTTTCAAGGCACTATAGAGCATCCGTCGATTTCGTTTAGCGTCTTAGCCGAAAATGTCGTCGCACCGGGATCGTTCACGTTCACCAATCCAAATCCGGGCGCCATGCGAGCGCCGCGTCTATGTAGCCAATATCCCGTTCGATATGAAATGGACTGAGTTGAAGGATCTATTCAAACGTGAGTGTGGTGAGAACTCGGTATCGTTCGTTCGCTACTTTGAGGACACGGATGGCAAATTCCGAGGTTGTGGTATCGTCGAATTTAAAGACTCCGAGGCGACAAAACGGGCTATTGAGAAGCTTCACCGATATGAGCTAAATGGACGATTCCTTGTAGTCAAGGAAGATTACGACGTTGAAAGGGATTCGACGGGACGGGTGGTAACACGAAGACAACGTGATCGAGACGGCGGACATCGAGATCGGAGTCCTCCTCGAAGAGAACGTTCTCCGCCGTCGAGAGACTATGGGGGGCATGGAGGACATGGTGGCCATGGGGGTTCGGGTGGCCCTGGTACTGGCGGGGTGTCCTTCAACACGTATGGTCTCTCGCCCAAGTTTCTCGATTCTCTTGGCATCGAGCTACCACTCAGCAACAAGCTCTTCATCGCTAATCTCGACTATAAGGTAACGAAAAGCGACTTGAAGCGCCTGTTTAAGCTGTGTGGCCGCGTACTTGAGGTGGAGCTATACGTTGACAAGGACGGGAACTCAAAAGGCAACGCCACCGTCGAACTCGACCATCCCATAGAGGCTGTGCAAGCCATCTCGATGCTCAACCGCCAAGTATATCATGGCCGTTCTCTAGCGATTCGGATGGACCGTAAAGAAAATGAGGAACCAAAACTGCCACCAGGCCTCGAAGGTGTCGGCAAAGGTCTTGGTCCAGGCGGAGTACCGCTTCGACTCCCACGGGACTTCCCACCAGTGGGTAGCGCTCCTGCTCCACCGCCGCAGCCATCAGTGCCCACGCCTGCCCCCGTTCCTCCAGTAACAGCTAACGCTAACCCTATGGCTGGACTAGCGGCTCTCGGAAATCCTTCAGGGGCTGCTTTAGCAGCTCTGTCCACGGTTCTCGGCTCACTCGCCGCAGGTCAGACTGGTGGCGGTTTATTCCCTGGGGCTAATTCAATGGGTGGAGGGCCAATGGGCGGGGGTGGACCCGGTGGAATGGGCACAGGTGCCGGTTCCATGGGCGGGGGCCAAATGGGCTCGATGAATCAGATGGGCAGTTCAATGGGATCGGGTAAATACGGGAACGATGGTCATGGCTTAGGAGGCGGGGGTCATGGAGGAATGGGCGGCGCTAACGGGGGTGGCAAATATGGGGCTGATGATGATACCAAATGGAGGTACTGAAAAGTTACTACACAGCGGTAGTACAGTGCAACTGCTACCAGAGTAGTACATTACGAAAAATAACAAAAATTACTGATCAAGATTTATGAGAGGTTATGGAAGAACTGTTCATGTTCAAACAAGGATTTCCTTAGTCGCGTTCGAATTTGGACATGTGTGTATTGTTTGGACTTTTATTTTCGGCATGTACAATGTGAGGATGATGATGATGATGACGATAATTACTATCAAGAGAGAGACGAAAGCGACTATGTTGATTGAAGACAGGTAGGTGTAGACAGAAAATTATGTGCAGTAAGTGGTCAACTTAACAAAGAGTTGTGAACTTACAAAGTGGTACGTTAATCGATTGAAGTGGTGGCGGCTATTGAAAACCTTGCGGACTGTTGCAGGGTTGTTGTACGAAGTCGGTCGCCCCTTGAATCGCTTGAGTGGGCAAAAACAAGTGGAAACATACTGAGGCAGTACAGTTGTAAAACGAAAGAAATGCCGAAGGCTCTGCGTGATTGAAAATCTTGAATCTAATTGTAAATGGATTGAGTTATCCTGAAAAGTCGAAATTCCAATGGCAGCGATCAATTGTGAGAAGGAACGTCGTTGATTCACAGGCAATGAATTTTTGTCAAAAAATGAACGACGGCAATTTGTCTAAATGGAGGTGATCTTGGTTCCTCTCCAGTGATATCCACTGGTCTAGTCTATTATCGAATCTTCTTCAATTCCTGTTGAATCCTTTTGAAAAATTGATTTCTAACTAAATTGTGGCATCGACCTGCGATAACAATGATTTATTAGCATATAATGTTTACAGGGTCGACAAAATTACGCCCTCGCTCCACTGAAATGTAGAACAGACAATGTCGCATTCACAAATATCGGTTAGTTAAAGATTTATCCTTATATAAATACATATATAATTCACACACATTTACACATGTATTATACCAGTATTGTCATAGGACACTTGAGGCAGGAAGTCCGCATGGTACATCAATAATGGGAACGCAACTGTAGTGCATCATTGAATCAACATTTATGGCGGTATACGATTATTACCATCGTGATGACGCAAAAGATAATTTACATGAACGACAGACCGTTCTTTATAACAAAATAGGAGAACGCGTAAGATGAAGCACATGCATCATTAATATTAATATTATTATATCCGAAAACTGTTAAGGCTGAATGAAAGCATGGTATGCATAAAAAAAATGTTCAAATAAAACCAGAAAGTATGATATGTTTACGAACTGTGTGTGCGTCTGTTATTTTTTGTAGGTCTTAGTCGCCGGTTATTTCATCCTAGCAATAAAGCACATGACTACTATGATTAAATGCAATATTTGTTTGTAGAAAATTTGAACCAATAAATTATTAAAAAAAGCAATTCGGTAGGATGCTTTAAACAAATCACACTTAAGAGGTTAAGTAAATAAAATTGCTAAACTGAATTGAACTTTTTGAAGAAAAAAAAATTAGTATTTGAATTGATAACATGATGAATTATGTTTAGAACATTTGTATTGGTTTATTGTTGTAGAAAGAATATTATTCCCCAGAATTTCCGGTCTAACATTTATGGTCTACTAGGAGCAACATTTTTAGTTCCAGAATCTTGGCAGAACTGCCGTAAAACATTCCCAAAATTATTACGATTCTGCTGACGTATAACGATGATTTTTACTCCAGGCTATGTCAGGTTTCCCAGTTTGGAGTTCGTGCCAGTATAAACGAGAAACCATTTCGAAAAACTTTTCATGACGATCATCTATATTTTCGGGAGTTTAATTTTGCCCTACTTTTACACGCACTTGGATATACTGCTCAAGCGCTGAGCTACAGTGCGAACAAAGAGAAGTATTGGCGCAAAGCAGTAGTGTCGTTGCAACAGTGATAAGTTCGTATTCAAAAATTCGAGTGGTGTCGAATAGAAGATGGCGTTATTGTTGTGATGGAAACTAATGGAAACCTAGTTTGGATTTGCCGACAATACTCATCAATGACAGTAAATAAAATAAGTGTAAATTTATTGTGCATGCCTTAATCATTAATCGTTACATAATTTCCTCAACAAAATGACAAATACTATTTATTAAATACATACTCCGGGTAAGCAATGGTTTCCGTGTTTTGAGGAACTCACTGTGTGAAAAGGTTGTTAAAACGATGCGAGGCAAGCTTTAATAGAACAGCATTAGATTAGCTTTCTGTCGAAGCTTACTAGGCTACCCATTGAGGTTAATTAGAACTAATTAAAAATAATTAATACAGCGTTAGTGTTTGCTACCGCACAATAAAGCATGTGGTTAACCTGTGTTGACTTCCACTTAATTTCGCATGCAATTCTTTCACGTATTTTGTAGATAGGTGAAATTTACAACATCCATTTTATTCAGTAAGATATAATAAATTACATATTAAAGGACAGAAATCAATAATATATTAAACATTTTTTTTGGAATTATCGTTAAACATGTTCGTCAGAAATAGTAGCCTCGAAAGAATATTTTCCTCATTTGATGGGGCCGATAATTTGATTCGCCAGTGCCATATTGCCACATGAAAAGGATGGGGTGTTTTATCATTCATAGATCGAGCAGACGACGCTGTTCAGTTGGTATTCCGGTGCACTGTGTTGATATTTACTGTTGTGATTTTTGTTGATGATTGGGTTTGTAGTCAGCTGTCGTTGGATGGTGCACCAGCCGAATCCTACCCAAAGCAAGTAAGTCTTTCGGGAAAAAGTTTAATGCATTTGATTGATATACTTCGAATTGGAGCGCGTACTGAAGTGCTCCGATACGACTTACAAAAACCGAGACAAAGAAATGAGGGCTTATTTTGAAAGTACAGCGTACTCAACCTCTCCTCATGCGAGGTAACGTTGAATTTAGCGTAGGGGTTTCTAAATTTCCTGTTGATTATGAGGGCATTTGTTAAGGAATCTTTAAATAGCCTTGCAGCAAAACATATTACCACTTGTTACCGGTAGCATCACATTGGCCCATTTTGTTTTAAATTAAGGATGCATTTTATTATTTTTCGAATTGAAATTACTTATCGCTTCCTAGGGTTACTTAGGTCGAGGAACCGAACCTGTATAGGATGCCCTTCAAGATTTTCGAAATGAGGTAACTTTCTATTAATTTTCTCAGCTTTTTTATTACATATCTCTACACTAGATAGGCATGCCGTCGTATGCAGTCAATTTAAGTACAAAGGCTATGAGTGGATCACCTACAAATATTTTTTACGGCGGAATTTAGATATTTACAGATTTTTTATTGCCATCAAAAGGAGTGGTGCAGCTAACTGGTCGCTTTGGTATGAGAAGTATCTAGCGCCCTGAGTCAGATCTTAACCTACGAATTTCTTACCCTAACGGAACAGCCGGGGGAAACCACTTCGTAAAAGAGTTTCCCACATCTACTCCATTATGGCGAACAGCTATTACGCTGACATCTGATTTGAAGCGCAAGATGCTGTTGACATTATAGCAAATAGCAGTCGGAATTGTTTATTAGCTGTTTCTCAGGCCTATCAAACATTCTTAAGCAGGCCGCACAACAGGTACATTGGTGCTTTCATTTGAGTTCATAAAAGGACTTTATGAAATTTTCTTAATTACAGCTTAGCTTACGCAAATTCAGCATCACCTGAACTGTACCACTACTAATCAGCAGCAGCCTGATCTGTAAGCAACTAAAGAGCTTATACGAAATGAAATATAGCGTATGTGCTTATAAAACGTGTCCATATTGACAACAAACCATGGCGTCTCCTTTCTCTCACCATATCCAGTCATGTATTTAACATAAGCGTGAATCTACAAGCACTCTTAATATTCGATGGTGTTTCTTTTACTGAGGGGAGATTTGTTTTCCGTGCTGCATTTCCTATTGCTTTTTCTAACCGGCTCAAAATCCACGTAAATATTTACTGGTATTTATATGACTCCGTGAAATAATCAGCCACTCGTATATTCGTACTGGTGCAATGCTATATTAGAGGCGTTGTTTGTATGGATGAAAATTCGGGCTTCTTCATCCGCCACTAGGATTACAAGATCAACTGTATTTTGTATCTATCTGCATCTTTGTGTTGCTTTCATGTTGTTTCAGATTTCTCTACAAGAACGCCTGTGCTGTCGTTTGACACCGTCACCCTTACGTTCTCTGTTTAACGAGTGTCTGCGACGCAGGATCAAAGCCTTTGACGAAGCTTTACCATCTGATCGGGTCCTTTACGACGTCGTTAAAAGTGCTAGAACATCAATAAGTTCCAGCTGGTTTGTACCTTAAAATGGCGCACAGAGATCGTTCACCAATTCAACTACGGGCTCCGTCCGATCGACGTGTTTATGTCGCTAATATACCGTTCGATATGAAGTGGACTGAGTTGAAAGATCTCTTCAAGCGCGAATGCGGTGATAACTCGGTTTCTTTTGTTCATTACTTTGACGATTCGGACGGCAAATTTCGCGGATGCGGCATCGTTGAGTTCAAGGATGCCGAATCGGCAAAACGAGCTATTGAAAAGCTGCACCGGCATGAGCTCAACGGGAGGTTTCTTGTGGTAAAGGAGGATTACGATGTGGAAAGGGATTCGACTGGGCGAGTTGTATCTAGAAGGGATAGGGAAAGAGATCGTGATCGGGGAGATAGTAGACACCGAAGCAGAAGTCCCATCACCCGAAGGGGGGACCTCTCTCCATCGCCAAGAGATTATGGCCGATCTCGTGTTCCGGAAGGCCCAGGTGGGCCCGGGCCAGGTGGGCCGACCTTTAACACATACGGTCTTTCGCCGAAATTTCTCGATTCCCTTGGAATTGATTTACCTTTAACAAACAAATTGTTCGTTAGCAACCTTGACTATAAGGTCACTAAGGCTGACTTGAAGCGCCTATTTAAGATATGTGGCCGTGTGCTTGAGGTGAATCTTTACATGGACAAGGATGGCAATTCAAAGGGTAATGCTACCGTCGAACTCGACCATCCCATAGAGGCCGTGCAGGCAATCTCTATGCTCAATCGTCAAGTTTACCAGGGCCGTTCTCTCGCAATTCGCATGGATCGCAAGGAGAACGAAGAGCTGAAGCTGCCAGCCGGTCTTGAAGGTCTCGGCAAGGGTCTAGGGCCTGGCGGAGTTGCCTTACGTCTACCGCGAGATTTCGCTCCTGTAGGCAGCGCTCCATTACCCCCGCCAACTCCAACACCTTCCCAGACGCCAGCGCCTCCGCCGGTGTTACCTGTTGCAGCTCTTGCTGCGCTTGGAGCTCTTGCATATCCGCAAGATCCGGTAACATTGGCGGCTTTGGCGAACGCGTTAGATCCACGGGCAGCATCACATCAGGCTGGAGGAGGTAATTTGTTTTCGAGTTCAAGTTCCATCGTTACTGGTGGAATAATTGGCGGCGGTGTCAGCGGCGGACTTAGTGCTGGTAGCGGTATGAACAGGAGTTCAGGATCGCTTCGAAACGGCTCTATAGGCGGCTCAAGTAGATATAACAATGATAGTGGGCTAGGGGGATCTCAGAAAGGCAAATACGCTGATAAGGATACTAAATGGGGATACTAAGTATAGAACGCCTATAGTTATCTATTATCATAATTATCATAGTACAGTGTACAGTATGGAGCTCGCCCATTTTTCGTGGGCATTATTGTTAGCCAATTAGTTTTTGAATAACCATTGATTGGTTTATTGTTAAATACGGAAAAGCGATGCGATAGAGGCAAGCAAGTAGCAAATCTTTACACCTCAAGGCAGAATTACTTGACAAACTAAAAGTTACGAAGCAGTAGCTACATGAACTTTGCGAGTTATTGCGATATGTTTACCTAGGGTGGACCAAAGGGCACAAAAATTCAAATTGTCTCTGAGCGTTCGGTTGTTTTTTATTGTGATTGACAGCAGGTTAATTATTACAATAGAGAGTTTAGTTGCGCTGGTATAAAAAAGGTTTTCCTATCTGTTACTCGAGATCGCTGCCGAACAGAGTGGCCGTTTTTCATTTTAGGCAGCGCCCACCATTGGCTCTACAGAAGCTTTCTGTTGGTGACGATGTACATGAAACAGTATCATCTTTGTTCATGCCACGTAGAAATAGAGTGAAACGTCGAGAAAATGGTTAAGGGAATGATATTTAAGTCTGTATTTTCCTGCTGATCAGCGGCATAAGAATGCTGAAAATATGTAATGTATATATTTTGCTCAGTTCCAGTGTACCGATAGACTTAGAAATTCGAGGATTGTTTGTGGATATACAACAACGCACAGAAGCCAGCACGGTCATATATGTGTAGTTATATAATTACCTAAATGAATTATATATGTGCAACTACTGTGCCCTAATGGGAAAGAATTAGACATTCGAATGTTTTGTTAAAAACGTTCATCGAAAAAAATTAGTTATTCAAAATAATTTGAAATTAAGTAAAAGCAAATAGTGAGCTTAAATTAGAGAACAAGTGTGATAATCATTCCAAATGTGAATGCACGAGCTCCGAGCGTTTCAGCTGCATCTTTACTGCGTGGAAATTAATTAGGAAGCTTATTTGAATATAAAATTATCTTGTGAAAAATCAATGGTAACTGTTAGTACTTGTGAAAAAATATATAATTATACATGTATAAGTTTACTAAATTATTTTCTCATTAAAATTCAGGTTCTGTGAGACTAACTAATGGTATGCCATGCGAGGAGTCGAACTTCACTAAATTTGACATAGACTGCTCTTAATAGTGCTTATTACGAGTAATGAAATTAGCCATACGATGTGGTCGATAAACGACAACGTAAATATAATCTAATTGCACACGTACCATTACTACCTTAGATTGCTCTGCTGAAGATAAAAATATGAATCTAGTTGCAGCTTGTCTCAGGAAGACTTACAAAAAAGTTGCACAAAAATAGCCAAGCAACACATTATTGATTCTTCGACTGATTAGTACCATATATTAAATATTAAATCCAGTATTCAAAAAAACACCCGGTAAGATGACCATCTCTATCAGATTGAAACTTAAGATTTTTCATTTTTGCAGTCAAGAGATATTCTAAGCATTTTAATAAAAATAGAACCTAAACGTTTGGCATAATGAAAGCTCTGCACCTGTTTTGAGTTTGCTCATCGCGCTAGGTTACCTACCCAATCTTTCAAAATCGACTCACTTTCTAGGTATTTCTGTGGATAAGTGTTCTGTAATATATCGATTAATACTTGAGCGTCAGATGTCTATGTTATCTATCTGTACGTATACATGTGGTAACGTAAACGGCACTATCCAGTGACACAACTGATTTTTGTACAAAATTTTATAATATTATGCTTTTGTCTACGCAAATTTAGTATGTAGAATGTACTTGTTAGCTATATATCTAAAGAGGTGTGCTTTCATACAGGTGTATACATTCAGCACTGTCTTGTGTGTACTTTAGTCAAACCGCGTATGTTTGATACTACGGAAAACGCACAACGCTTGTGGCGAGAAACACTGTTTGCTTATTGTTTTATTATGTCATGTTATTATAAAATGAATTGTCCACAATAATGACAATTTAATTATTTCTTGTTTAGTATTGTACTGTTCACGTAATTTGTTGTTACCTTATAGGGCCAACACAGAGAAAACAAGGTCATCTGTGTTATTTGCTCTTATTAAAGCCATTAGCATATCGCATCATGCTTCCGTTTGCTGTTACAAGCATATTTTGTGCTATTCTTTATATTACACAAAAACTGCCGAAAGATATAATGTTTCGATTGAATTCTATCTTGGGCCGGAACTCGACACTCAACCGGGATGAGGCTAGCTGTTAGGCTCATTATGAAGGTTATCAATTCCTCTTGCAGATTGTTAACGTTTCCGAGAATAGGTACCTGTCTGCAATAATTTCAAGATATCCCTCATGTACTGTTTCCACCTCGGTCAATGATCAACATTTAGTAATGAACCGACTGTTAGGTTCTATATCAGTACGCAGTTCCGATTCAGTAATAATTAGGTAGCTGACAACATTTTGGCCGTATCGGTTTGCAGTATATGTTATATATACATTCAGCACTCATTACCTGTCATCGCACGCTCTATTCCCGACATTGTTAGCACACATTCTGCTTTCAATTAATTTGCAGTTGCTCTTCATTTGATTAAAGAGACTTTTTTGTAACTGCGTAAAATTTATGTTTGGGTGTCTTTGATAACACTCAAAATATATGAACGAATTCATGTCAATGAAAGTGAATGACAGGAGGTTTTCACTCGCAGAAATGTTGAGAAAGTGACTGTGGAGCCACCGATTTTCCGTGCAAAAATTTTGTTTGTTGTTGGATGTTGGAGCAACGAATTGTCTGTCAGCTTCTTCATTAAAAATAAGGGTATACTATTATAGTTTATTAAATAAATCCCTTCTCTTGTTGGGATTGTTGTATATACTGCGCGAGACACACATCGCTTATATTCTATTTAATATTATCTTAAATCTGCGGTATTTACTTAGTGTAGCGACTATCATTGCTACGACTATTACTATTATGATCATTACTTATTACAGAAAGCAAAGGTCGTCATTTCACCAGCAAGAGACTAATGTTCGTTTAGATAAACACACGAGCACGCACTCCAGTCTACACACTTGTATCTATATGTAGAGGGCCTATAGGATATAGCACCAAAAATCGTCGCCGTCTAAATATCAAAAAACTATGTTGAAAGCATAATTCAGTTGATATAATGTTAGTGTAGTAATGAATTAGCGTAATGACTGAACATAATATGTCTGCATGATGAAGTATGGCTAACCTACTTTTTTGGTGTTTACCTAAATACAGTTTGGGATGCTTCGATATAGTGCGAATGACAGAAATAACAATGACAACGTAATGGTAAGTTAGGTTCAGTATTAGCATTGGCTTTTGCTTGACGTAACAGTGTGTATTCACGGCTGTGCACTTGATTTCCTCATGACCATACTTAACATTATTATTATTATATCATTAATAAATAGTATATCTATTTTTCCTTACGCCGGTTCGCGTTGAATGGAACGGTTTTCGCCATACCTGTATACACAGGTTATTGCTAAATTGCAATGGTAAAATTTGATGTACGCTCCGTTAGCTATGATGAACAAGCGAAAAATAATGAATGTGCCTTTTAGTTTCTAGTTTACAGGACGTCGACAGTGAATTTCACTTTTTTTTTCAAATAAATCGCTTAGTCTTCCCTTCTGATCATAAGATTTAACAGGCGATTGGATGTATCAAAAAAAAAAAAAAACAAGATTTAAACGGTTAACGGAGATGGTTGCCAAAGTAATCGTGCACAATATTCTGATGCCATCGCGTGTTGAATTAGGCCTTTACTAATATATGCAATCGATATGACAATGGAACGAGTTAAATTAGGCGCCTGAGGGAGTGGGAAGCTTGATCACAGTGGCGCCTTCTATTTGCTAATATTACCATTATTAGGGAACTAGTTAATTTTTTTTTTTTTTTTTGATTCAGTTTGTTCTCGTGTGGCGTCGTCGCCGCGCAACGTGAAGCGCCGGTAAAGTATGTGTATGAGTGGAGATAAGAAATATACGGGATTTTTTGGACTTCATTTAGAATCGTTTCTTTATGGTATAATCCAGAGGCTGTTTTCTTATCGCCTCTAGTATATTTTATAATTAGTATTTTCGTTGCCAACTTCCTTTGTCAACTTTCTCATCAGAGTCTGTTTCTCTACGCATTTGTTGAGGAATGCTGACGGGACATTGCAGTTGTCTTGCTCTGCCTCCGCACTAAGGTCAGACTCTTGAACATTTACAGCAGTTAATGCAATAGTACTTTAGTCTTTCTACGCATATGCATTTATACAAATAATAGTAGTAGTAATGGTTTATACGAGTCGAAATTTTAGAAATGTCAACGAGTAATCACATTTAGTATACATGACGCTCACCTGTGGTGTGGTGTGGTACTTGAAACTATGTTGACAAATATAATAATACCCACTGTTTATTTGTTTCAGCTGCGCAGGTAGCTTCGTGTTAACGTTATGGGGTCACTGTTTTTACGTTTGTTGAGCAGTAAAGCATCTTTCACATCTACATATGCGTATGTCTTTTTGTTTGTCAGACGCAAATGGTTTCCTGCAAATTTTATACTCATCAGCGCCAGGCAACTAAGACAACTGGTTATTCATCGGCACGCATGGTCTGGCACTGACAGAAACAACGCGTTGGCATATACGCGTATCAACTTCTTTCCTATTTACAAAAAATATGTCGAACGGTGCAAATAAAAAAAAAAGATTGGTTTAGTTACAAAAAAAAAGTACTACACACTCAGCTTATTGTATAAGGACAATGCGACTAATACCAATGGCAAAACAGTTCGTCTCCTTTATCTCTGCGTTTTGGTGTTTACTTTCGTCGATATAAACACTAAATAACGTTTTTCTTGCCTTTTCGGATTAATTTATCTTGATGTAACGCCATTAGCATGCCCTGTGTACTTGGTTAGGTCAAAGAGGACATGTGCTGTTGTCATATGTCAAAGGAACGTAGGATTTTGATAACAGCAGTCTCATTTGCAAATGACAATAGGTAATGATTTTTCAATTTAGCTAATATTTTACATCTTTTGTCCAGTACGCTATCATTCAGCGTCTTCGTTTTGCTTTACTTCGCTTTCAGTCACCAATCCACTAGACATTAAATTAAGCAGGTGAAGATTAGGTAGAATACTCACATGTCCGCTGCCGCAATCTTTAACAGCCTGTAGATGCGCCTTACTCTTGTGGCATCAATGTGTATTATACTTATTGCATGTTTACATTGTTTACATTTGCTTTAAGCCATACGTTTTGCCATTCACGTCGGCAATAATTTAATAACAAATAATCATCGCTGAGTAGTTGACTTAGCGAATAGCCTCTTTATTTGGCGTCCTTTTGCCCCTATTATCTGCTGTCCTGCCTTTGAAGGGTTGGCAGCTGTGCTGATCCATGTAAGGGTATTCGTAGTGGCTTCCTTAAGGATCCACGGCCCAATCCTGCAGCACCGCTTCCAGCTCCGATTGTTCCGGTGGAGCCATTGCGAGCAGCCTCGATCCTTTTGTGGAGGGCCTATTCAAATTCCAAGAATAAAAACGTAACCCTTAATGAGGCCTAACGCCTTTGTGTTAGCGGTGGATATCGATTGCTATTGAAATTTGTTTCGCGTTCCAAACACATTGCTAGTCTGAGGCCCTAAAAAAAAACGCAACATCAGTGCACTCTATCATTCAACCTAAGATATGTGATAAGAACTGAAACCCTGTTCGTACAAGATTTTGAGCATGAATAAATTTCTGCTGTCGCTTGCGGTTGACCGTTGATGGCGCCACATGTTGCGCCCGTGCAAGGGCACCAGTTCCAGCAGAGACCAGCTCCGCCACTCGCGATTGCTGTGCAATGATTCGTTTGAGCAGCTGCTCGTTTTCGGCCTCAAGACGTCGCTCTTGTTCTCGTTGTCGTCGAGATCTATGAAAGAAAGATAATGCACGACATGAAATAACATGTGGAAAACTAATTATGAGGCTCTAAACAAATTTACAAACACTAGTTAACGGCATTTTGTATATATATATATATATATATATATATATATATATATATATACATATATATATACACATTAAGCAACGCATTTTTGGCCGCTCGTGCTTTTATCATTAGTCGAACAACTGATAAACAACTAAGTTACGATTGTTAAGGCGGCGTCCAAAACCGGTTGGTTTGTTGGTTGAAAAATTGGTCGTAAGATACAATTAAAATAACAAATAATTGCATGGGCGCACCTCAACCGATTCGCTATGATGCTATCAAATTAATCTTTTTACTTATAGTCAAGCAGGCTTTGTCGACATTGAAGGCTGGTATCGTGCAAGAGTTATTTTATGAAATCGTACTACTGGAAAAGGTGGTGTAAGTGCATGGTATACGAACCACCGTAGTGTCACATACGAAGTCCTGTCAAGGCCGTAAAATCGGATTGCGAGTGCGATGTTCGATGCAACGGATTCATTTTCTGAGGTATATCTGTGTGCTCTATCCCTTTATATAGAGTTATTACCAATTAGCTTTATAAACAGATCTTCAAAGAATTTTTCATTTGTAGCGTATGTACGTATATCTCTATACGAACCTGAGAGCAGTAGTAGTGCTATTATTGTTGATCGTAGTACCTCGAAGGCCAAGTTTTTGCATAGCATCTGTCAGATGGCTAACCTCCGCTGCTCTTCCGGGGGCTTTAATCTGTAGGGGTTCTACGGAGGCAGTTCCATTCTGTTGGTGGCAACTGGCCCTATTTGGTGCCCTCTTAACAGTGGCTCTTCTCATTGCCACTCTGCTTGAGCCTATAGAACTGCTTCGCGATTCACCCGAAGTGCGGCCGCTGCTCCTGCGATCGGCGTGGCCTACTCCCGGCTTGTCTTCCTCAGAAGACGACGATGATGCTGAAGAATTTTCCTCGGCGTTATCTTCGTTTATGTGTCCGACTGATTCACGAAGCTTTGAAGCGACCGTGCCAATCGGCTGTAGTAACACCGTTTCATAAGAAAAGTAATATATATATATGTATATTGAGTCTCAATGTGGGTTCACTATGAGCTTTCAATATAATCTATATCCAGCCGATACGTTAGGATAGACTATTGGGATGAGTTCGACACCCAGAAAAAGTGGAGTTCCCTCCCATAGTGAAGACTCCTCAGTGGACATTCAGGAAGCTTAGACGGGTTTACGGGACTATAGGTATTATAAGCCCGCAGCGACTGAACGCGTCTGAAATTAATGAACAGTGCCGCTACCGCCTTTCCGTCGACCCTTTGGTGATTTTTACCTTTTCACCTGTTCCATTTCTCAGTTTTTGACGCAGTTACGCACATATTCGGTGTGCTAGGTCGCTACCTTCGCCCAGTGTCGCCCCGTCAGCGAGCACACCGGTTCCGTCCCTTACTTTTTTGCCAGGCATCAATTACCGTCCGGGATCATAATCCGGGGTTGTAACCTGAGCCGGCCGTTGGACCGACCCAATTTTGTAGAGCGGTCCACCCTAAATTGGGTCAGCGATATAGAGCCCTGTGCGCTTTACAGACAGATCTAGAAGGAAAACCTTCTGTTCTCTGTGGTTAGCTAACAACGTAAATTTTCTTCGTCGACGCAGAGAATTTCAAAATTAAGTTCACAATTGGTAACTTTTTGCTTGTTATTATGCGGGGTTCTTTAAAAAAGCTAAATTTTAACGAGGTCCTTAGATTTGCTTCTAGTTCTCGCCGTATGAAAAATAATTCGTTCAACTTATCTAAAAAGTAAATGATGCAGAGAAGTGTCAACACTGCGCAAAAATGTAATACGCCGAAGCGTATATAAGTATTAAAGTGCGACGTTTTGACAGCAATAAATCAAAATAAAATAACAGACGGCTAATATTCTACTAAATTGTTGATGATGGTCTGGTAGCGTTCGGGGGGCGATACAGGTAAGAGGGATTTGTCATGCATCGATAGTAATGTATGCTTGTTGTTACCCGTACCGAACTATAATTGTTAAAAGAATCCTAAATCAACCCTTTCCGACTAGTCTAAGCATATTTTTTTTGTCAAACGAGACAACTTTGCCACAAAATATTATCAAGAGCGTCATCCGTTTCAATTAACGTTTGCCTCTATATATAAAAAATATTATATTAATAACCTAAGATTCAGTAAGTATTGCGGCTCTATCATGAACAAATACTAAGCCTCTGAATTCGATGGCTCTAGCATAAAAATGCAATTAATGTATACTGAAATCGTAGGCTCGACGACCATTTTCTCAGAACCATAATGAGGAAACGTTCTGAGATACTTAAATACAAACACATTTGAATAATTTCATTTCTATTTACATATTTGTATACTTGATTATGGTTATTTATCAGTAAAAATGCAGCGTCAGCCTTCAAAAACGTAGTGTAATATTTGTTTTAATAGGAAACACATTATCAAATGTTAGAGTAAAGCAAACCGAAACTTGAAGTCATTTAGATAAGCAATGAGGTTCGTCTAAGGCTATAATGAAACCCCAGCAACTAAATACCATGGAATTATCTATCCAATAGGGGCTTTCTAATTTCGTACCGCCACTTGCTATGCCTGATGCTTCATAACTGGTATGACGTTTTAAGAAACGATGAACAATTTGGCTTTCAGGTAAATTGAAAAAAGTTAAACATCTGGCCGACAAAAATAAATTTGCGCTGAACTAGGCTCGTTTAAGATTCTTTGTGTAGCAGCAACTCACAGTCCTATTCAGAAGCAGTCTAAAAGACTGCCGAGAAGTTTCAAGTTCTGGAAGCGACGACTTTCTCAGCCACTAATTGAACGCTTTAACCCGCTCTGTAGGAAAACCTGTTTATATCAGTCAATACTTTGCTTTATCCTACGTCGAATGCATCCCGGTTCGGTCCTGTAAATGTAGTGACCACTCTCGGTTCGCTCTCAGTAATAGAATGGCTTATTACAGATGGGCCTTGAAATTCATTTGAAGGCAATGTCTAATATTACCAGCACGAATTAGGATATTTTTCTCTCATATAAAACAAGCCGAATTGCGCTCTTGAATCCAAATTTCAGTATAGCCTCCAAGTAGTCGTGCAATGTTGGGGGTTTCATATGGATTCCTGGCAAATTTAGGAATAAGAACGTGTCAAACAGTATTTCTATGCGTCGGCCGAATTTCGGATCTTGTAAACGGAATCTCAGCATTCTCCTAACTTTAAAACTTACCGTACGCCAATATCTTCAACTACATTAATTGGCAATAGCGAATGGCACTTCAATAGCCGTCATAGGCGATATGGAATAGAGGTCGAGTAAAGATCGATATTGTAAATAATATGGATGAGGTCTCAGCGGTGACGATCGGCGGTTGCACGAGTAGGTGCAGTCACTCAGGAAAAACAAAAGAAGGAAGCTTTGAAGAAACAGTGTTTTGCTAACTAACATCCAGGAGCCTATCTGTTTACAGCAGCCATATGCTGACCCACGGAACGGATTACTAGTGACATAAGGACGTATTTCAGGACGACAGTAGTCTGACAAAGCCCGAGTAGAGACGGTCTTACTAATCCGAATATCTTGGTTTTTAATGCTATGATAAATAACGGCAAAGCAGCCTAGAAAAAGTAACAATGGGAATATCGGCTTCTAGAGCCACTTATAGCTAGATGGTAGATCCCTATCGTTCAACCGGTTCAGACTTATTCGTTACATCCGTTTGGGCGCACGTGCAGGCTCAAAAACGTCTCGTACGACTCTGGATAAGGAGGAGAAGGTGGCAACGGTATTGATAGTGATGATACGCGGATAACAGCCACGAAACTAAAACAGCTTATCGAAACGTCGAGTCGAAGAGTCTAGTTCATAATCTGTTTCGTATCCCCATTGTGTTTGACTTTTATTATAAACGCTAACCCGAATGAGGGAGCAATTTCCAAAAAAAAATTGTACGTTGCTACTCAACTTATGGTAAATCTTACGGATATTGTTCTAGGACTGACGAATAAATAGTGAATATTTACCGATATTTTTTTAGGAACTGTGTCAAAAGGGTTTGACAAGACCCCTACGCCTATACCTATAATTCGTAAGCTGCGTTCCCCACATTTAGGAGAGCTTCTAAGTTCGTAAGTAACAGCGCCAAATCACTGAAAAAATTGACATCAGGTATTTGAAGCGGTCTTAGGTAGTTTTCTATCCTTTCACTGCCGACCTATACACAAACAAATTCAATTGGCAAAATACTTGCTCTCATTTGGCTTCTGCTGTACGTACCTGACTTGGCAGGGGCGAATTGGAGATGGAATGTAGCGGAGTGACATCGGTGAACGACTCCGATTCGAGGTCAGATTCGAATAAGTCTTCCGAAGATAGCGACGATGAATCGTCGTTGTCGTCTTCATCGTTATCTTCATTGACATCACCATCGCCATCGTCATCATCATCACCGCCATCGTCGTCCACTTCACTAGTTTGCTGATGTCCGTGTTCTGTGTCGTCGGCACCTAGTGGATCTGTCGAGGAATCGCCACTCATCGCTTCGTCGGTGGACGCCATCTGCGTCCGATGGTCTCCTTCGAACGGACGGCGCTAAACAACAATGAATAGATGAATACCAAATGTTTGACATTGTTAAAATGAAAGCAACAGAAACCGAACAAGACAAATATATACCTGAATGCGATCGACAGAGTAACAATGCATATTGGTGCTTATTGTATAATATTGGAAAGACAACTTACACCCACACACACACAATCGCTGTCGAGTGGTGCCACCTGCGTCGCCAAAAATCGATAGCTATGAATCATAGTATTACCCCAAGATTTACGGAAAACAGAAGAAAAATAACATAAACACTATAGTAAAATTGTAAGTGACGATATACTTTTTGCAGATCTGTGAGTTGGTTTTGCAGTCGATCTTTTGCCGAGTCTGTCGATTTTCACAAACAGAAGAAAAAGATCCTTTATTCTTTCTTTTGTTTCTAAGAGCTGTCCTATTTATCTTTCGATTATTTGGCGCACGCATTCATTTCGTGCTAATTATCTGAAATGCTTTGCTAATAGTAATGCTTTGTCATTGTTAAGAATGTGCTCAGGTTAAAACTACGAAATGTGCGAACAATTCAGGTTCGCTAAAGGACAACGCCAGGTTTAAATGGGTAAGTTTATTTAAAGACATGCATTAAAGTAGGCACTGCCGCTTTCTTTGTACAAAGTTTTCTCTGATCTTCAAGCTGTTATACGAACGGGATTTCGGGGAGAAAGAGTTCGAAAACTTTTAAAGATAACCGTAGTCTGGGCCGCAATTGTTGACAGGTGGGAGTTTGGATTATTATTATTATGACTATAATATGGGTCTAATTAGAATTCTACTATCTGTACCATTAGTTATAGTGCAAGTAATAGCAAACGCAAGCTTCGATTGTGTTTTAGGAAGATGACGTCAATGGGGTGGCGTCTCAGCATCGGGGGCGTAGATGCGGAGGCAGTGGCGACGCTGAGAATCTAGGTTTGGACAACACCCTAGTTAACGAGGTTGCGGCGCTGCCTGTTGAAACGATGGGCTGAACTGCGCTCGTTGTATGCGTGCGCGTGTATACTAAATTAAGCACTACGGATAGCTTATAGAGTGTATAGCACTTGACGCAAAGGTAAGTACGAAAGTTCAGGATGAAAAGATCTCTGGAGATGAGAATCGACCAAAGTAAGCGGTATCTTAAGTAGAGTAGACTGCTGCTACTTCAATTACCGTTATTGCACAGACTTTGTCGGTAAAATGAGGCTACAGAAGAACTTACAGAAGCGCTTTTATTTGATGGGCTATTAATGTTATACAACATTTTTCCTGAAAGAAGACAACAGACGACCGTACGCTGTTTTCTTTTTTCTTGACACATAGCATAATAATAGTAATGCCAGTAGCTGTTAGTATAAATATCTGTTATTATTACATCTTTCATATGTACGCGGACTCTTGGCTCTACAAACTATCTGACTTGTTAGTTCTGGGTGAATGGTTGAACTTGCGGGCCATTCTGGTGCTCACTGAAGCAACGCGGCCCCTTATCCACGGTGGATATGGTGCTGCGTTGTCTGCTTCTCGCTCACCGGGTTTGACGGATTCTTCTCGTAGGACTGACAATGATGTACTAACAGTACACGACCCACAAGCAGCTTGCGTCGTTCGTGGCGGAAATTCCTGTCCACGTTAACCCAGATCGGTTCAGGCCCATTCTAGGTGAAGGCAGTGTGTCTGTGGCTGTGTTAGCTAAAGCACAACGGAAACCGACTGTCGCTGTCTGTCGTCTGGATGAATCTGCGTACAATTCTATACACTATTATAGGCTAAACATTGGTGGGTGTTATCGCTGCACAGTACGCTCACTGGTTGCGCTGGCCTGGATTGGATGGAAATTCACGTTGGGCGCCTCTGCTACACACACACACGCACACATAGTTCGCCGTGTTCATATAGTTCACATACAGCAGATTCGGTCGCTGTATGAGGTGGCTACGGTTAGCGTGCCTTTTCGATTGGCTTTCTTCTAAACTACGGCGAAATGGTTGATGATGTTGGCAGCGCGTTGGCTGAGGACAATGACGAGGAGTCTGTGCCGGTTTTTGTTCACAGACAGTAGCTTGGCCGCGTAAGTCACCCGGTCCGCTAAGCAACCATGGCGAGCACTCTGCTCGGCGACGACTGGGCTCCGACTGCTTAGCAGCAGCTCCGCCGCCGCCCCCGTTAAGAGCGCCGTCGTAGCGGAGACTGTCGCAAAGCGCTTTTACACTCCCCCTAGCCTTCCCCTCTTCACCTTCCTCTCTCAACTAGCAATGGTAGTGCTGCTGGAACTGGTTGCTACCGCTACCTCTGATAAAAGAATGAACCAAACTCCGTAGCGCATTCGGCAGTTAGTCCCTAGAAGAGGGAAAGGGTAACAGGGATCTAAGCCTATTGAACTTGAAAAGATACAGGCACACTTCCTAGCCAGGCATCACATCAGCGAAGATTGGCTCTTCACTACGACTATTCTATTACCACGACTGCTACCACTAGGACTATAGTATTTATTTGACCAGGACCAAAACAAAGTAACCCCGCCATCTTGTTAGGGCCGCGAGGGAGGCTGAACGGTGAGCTTGCTAAAGGCAGCGAAGCGAGGAAGGACGTTTGGAAAAAAGTCTCGGTTCGTACGCGCATATGCTTTTGAGTCCTTCGTCAGCCAGCCCTTCGTCTAGAGGATGCTGCGGCACGCCCGGAAATTTCAGTTCGCGAGTAAGAAGCGACATCCCGTAAAAGAAGAAGGGTACCGTTCAGTAACGAGTTCTAGTTACGCTATAATGACATCAACGTGGTGTCAAGAAAATCCCCTTTAAACCCGCAACTGGTCCTCTTTATGCGCTCCATGCTACGAGGTACTCTGAATTATTTTCTTCGATGAAAACCTCGTTGCAAGGATAAAGGTGGTCTTGTGCAACAAGTCCATTCATATCTTTTTGTATAAGCACGGCAAAATTTCGTTCGATAAGTACTTTAATAAGCTGTTGCGAATAAGTATATAAGTATAGATCTGTTTTTGCTTAGGTTGCTGCTACATAAGATTGCTAATAGTACACGACGCCGCCTAGTTTTCGTTTTCGTTTCGGCCATTCCCGTTCCCTTGCAATTACGTTTTGTTCTTATAGATAGCAGGTCTGATAGTATACCTTTAACCTTTTTGCTGTCTACCTATCCACTCGTCGGTTTTTTTTCCTCTGCAAGCTTCCGTGAAGGTGTCGAGTCACACTGGCCCGCGTGGCGGCTAGGCATGACAACACAAAATTTCCGCCAAAGTCACCCTTGACATTTCAAGCAGCAGCAGCAGCAGACTCTCCCCTTTTTCCCGGGCGGTTCACCCGAGGGAAGCTGGCCCATGCGCATCACATAGACGACCGCACGCTAGAATATTCCGTTCGCTACTTTTGTGTCCCTTCGCAACACTGCATATACTAGGTGCCGCATGCCACGTCACGTGTACAGCTTACACTCAGTACGGCAGCCTATGGGCGCCCACAACACAGTCACATATGTAGACCATAGACTGTTCTCTCGCTTCGCTGAATGCACTGTCATGGACGGAGCGAGTAGGCCAGTCCACCATTCTATTCGATGTGAGTCTTCCACTTTTCCATACTGAACGTCAGGTACTCTTTGTCGTCAGATACCGTTCCTTGGAGTCGGAACAACACTTACGATTCGTCGCTAATGTTTGTAGCCTTGTTGTCGGCTAATCTTTTTTGCAGCTCAGCTGGCCATTTATGACGTAATATTAACGCAGTGTGACACGTACTCCGTCGTCAGAGGTGCGTTGTCTTTGAAGGGACGGCACTTTTAGTAATACCGTCGACACAAGACAGGTGGAGGCAAATGTAAGTGCTCGATATAGCAGCAAAGAGAGCGAGCGCATGTTTACCTCGTTTCAGATCATTCTGAAATTGTCCGGAAGCCGGAGAACTGTGTTGACCGGGGCAAACTACTGTGGGATAGCAAGAGAGTCTTGGTAACTTGTATGATAGTTACGGTTTTATAACAGTTTTTTCAAACCGTTCAAACAAGTTTCCGTTCAGTAAACCTTTGTACGTTACTTGGTAATGAGGAAGAAGGCAAACGACATACTCAACAAAAAAAAATAACAGCCGCATAGTAGCTCAATCGCGAACAATATCTTAAGTGAAACCTCGCGATAAAAATATTGCTATACGTTTCAGTTAATTCGCATTACGTATTTTTTTTTCTCCTATAGAACGTCAATGTTGCACTTGCGCGTGCGGTTGTTTTAGAGATATATATATATATTATATATATATATATATATATATAGTAAATGTGCATTCAACAGGTGTTGAGCCGAAAGGATTAGCTTAGCAAGCTCGGAAGTCTAAAATACGATATTTTAGACGTTTTCTAGCTTTTTAAGCTTGAGCTTTCAGATTCAATATTATAACATATCTACGAAAAAATTACTCTGTAAGCTCTGTGAGCGTATTCGTTTGCCAAGCAACCTCATACTTGTTACTAAAAGGCCAAAAGCTAGCAAAATATTTGCTTCCTGCAAAGCTAAAAGACGTCATAATCAGGCAGGATGGCGCATGATTCGACTCTATTGGCGTTGCCGGCGCATGACATAAAATGCATAATTGCGTACTTGTGCTATATATAGCAATTATGAAGTGAGGCGAGCTGATTCGGTCTTCGTCCGTCCGCATAAAAGTCTCATTTATGCAATGGCTGCATGATACGAAAATGTAGGTCGTCCTGGAAGGTCGCTTGATCTTTGTACGTGTCTTGTTCCGGACAACTCATCCGCTGTTCATGGCCATTAAAGAAATAAGTAGAAGCTCAATTTATGATCGCAACGGCCATATATTAACTCGACTATAGATTTGTTAGGGCCAGCCGTCAGTTACCGCATAAAGGTTTATTGCTATAATATACGTACAATAATACGGCACCGGTTTTCGCTCGGTGCCGAACCGACGATTAGATCAGGACAAGGCATGAGATTTGCAAAATTTGGCAGTTCCAGACCGTATCTATAATAGAAAATATATAGAAAAAGGAGTAGTGATTTACTTTAGGTGGACCTAAAATTAAAATCTTTAATCGCTTCAACTTTTTGCCTCAGAATCGCATAAATAATAGATAAAAGACATAGAACGATTGGTAGGAACGCAAATAATACACTACATAAAAACCCGCTGTGGATAAAAACGAACTCAATCATAACGTGCTATAAGCGCAAAACGTTACCGGTTATAAAGGTGTAAAAAGTTGGATGAACGTCATAATGGCATATAATATATGTTTTTTTTTTGCATTAAGCATATATATTTTATGTGGTGTGTGTTTAAACAAGTGTCTCTTTTACGCCCGATAAGGCTAGTGCATCTAAGGCACTCTGTTCCTGCTACCGAGGCGGAAGTTTGGGCATACGATAACCACGGCTCTCGACTTGTTCTTGCCGAAAACGTAATGTTAGAATTTTTGTCATTCCTCAATGTATTATATATATGTATATACGCCAAATGTGCATAGACAAATTGCGTCATTTAACGTACGTACCGTGTCGATCGTACGTATGTTCGGAGCTACTGGAAATACCGTAACTATTTCCTTATAAAGATATTACTAAAGAGAATAGGTAATTATCAACAAATAGTTAAAGTGTTTTAGTGTGAAAATTTTTTCTCACAACAGATATCAGTGAATTCAGAATGTGGGCATTGGTATAGCGGACACTTTTGCCACTACAAAATCGGTAACTCGTAGTTTGGATTGAAAAGTAACTTTATTTGAATAGACTCGAATCTTCTATCAGAATAAAAAGCGGCTTTCATTATTATTTTAGCATTTTCAATCAGTCGTATGCGGAAGGATTCTGCCGTGCAATATTTCATAATTCAACGAGAATCATTTTCTATCGAAGTTAGAGAAACATGTAAGTATATAGACAAGTTCTAAGTGCGAGTATACGAATGAATTGAAATTAGAATTTCATAAAAGCGTCCTGCGCGAAATCTCTTGGCGCATTTTGCGCTGGTGCCGTAACTGTGATAACTTAATCAGTTAAGTAAGCGATGCCCACAAGCCAAATCGCTACCTTAAAACGGACCACCAAAGCTATCTCTGCCACTTCGATGATGGCTTAGTACTCGTAAATTTATTTGATGCCTAAGAATAGGGAGGGGATGATTTCGTTTTGTTATTAGCAGATAAGCTACATATTGTGCTATATAAAATCTATAGCTTTAAATAAATTAGACAATCACTTATCAGCTTTTAATGATGGTAGATTTTTGTTAGCGTGAGGTGGTTATGAACTAGGAGCTATGTTGTTAAATGGGTTCGTAAATCTTTCAACTCACTAAGAACGGCCCATTTATGACTCAAAATATGAGTAGTGCCATGAAAACTTCTTATAGCTATGGGCCTTTTAGGCAGAAATGCGCGATCGAGGTAACCTACTCTAATTAACTGATCTCGGTTAGAATAAACTGCTATTAAGGGACCTACGTTTAGGGACCATAAGGCAGCACCTTAAAGATTCCATAACGGGCAAGCTAGCGGAAGCTTCGCTTAAGCCAAACGTACGCACATTTGAAGGTCTCAGTATATATTCTCCAATAATACAGAATGACCCCTCGGCGGCAGAGTGTCATAGGTTGCCATTGGCTTTAACAGAACGACCTACACTATTTCGAGACCTACCTAAAATATTTGCTCACTGCACAAGATCAGACGACGTGAGGGGTGGTTAGGCGTTGACCAGATCGGGCTGTGGCAAGGGCACTGCTGATGATTATTATCGACAAAAATCACGCGGGCGGAAAAATTGGCCAGAAACACCCTGGCGAAGGAGATTATACTGCGGGAAAGGGGTGGCAGTAACGTATTCCAGCGATAGAGCGATGGACAAGCCGAGAATTTTACCCTAAGCAAATATTTTTATTATTGCGTTTTACTACTACAACCAAAAAAGCTTGACTACGCACACGACGCGACACAAAGTCGCGACTGTATATTTAATGTGCAAACAAGTGAACATATACAATTTTTAGCCCGAAAATATGGGAACCTAAAGCGTTCTCTAAATCACCACCTCATAAAAGCACATTACGCTTTCGAGTTTATTAGTAATTTAGTAGTTTATTAGCAGTATTCAAGAATATCTTTTTCTTACGTTAAGGGAAGAAAAATAGGGGGCAAATTATGTCGAATCTCGGCTCCGAGTAATTTAATGACGCTGTTTATCGAACATTTTTATGTGTGTAAGGAAGTTTTATTGTTTCTGAACTCGGTAAGTAGAGATGGCCCCAGTAAATGCTAGTCAATAGTTATCTAAAAAAATGGAAAAGGCCAAAATTGCCTATACAAGTTTCCTTTATTTATCTACTACATTCCGTCATGACAGTTTTATGCATCGGTATTGCGTGCGTCGCTCAACATGTCTCTATACGATATTTATAGGTTATACGGTTTTATTATTAATTGCTTTGTATATATATATATATATATATATATATATATATATATATGATGTTCCTTATATTTTATTTAAAATTATGTTAGATCCGATATAGTTGATGTTCGTTAATGTCAAAACAGCCGAAGAAGTAAACCAAGCTGGAGGTGGCGGCAGCAGTCTAAGGAGTACAGGAGTTGCTGTTATACAAATGATCGAACAATCGATATGTTTCATTTTCTTTGAGGCAAATGAGGTTTCCCTTTAGAGAGCTTTACGTATTGTTATGCATTCGTTGACAAACAACCAGTCCGTCCTTGTCTGAACTTCACTGTATAGGCGCATGGTAAAGAGGGTCAAATGTTCAGAGGTTCAGGGTCATCTGAACAGAATCGTATCATGGACTATCTAATCGTCCTTTTGATTTTCCCAAATATCTTCTTTGACCACGTCGTCTTTGATATTCACGTTTTACATTAAAGTAAAATATATACTACTACAAGCATATACTACGAAAAATGCTCGTTGGGCCTGGAGGATTAATTAATTAATTAATTCATTTCTACATATACTAAAAGGCTATCCCGATATGTAATAATCCCATTTCATGATTTATTATAATTTAAGTATTCTATATAGATTATAAATTACTAATCTCCTGAAGTTCTGCACATTTCATAGAGGGAGCAAACAATAGTCGCGTAGCAACTATTTGCGTTGATGTGTGTGGAGATATGAGTCAATCTTTTTAAACACTCAGCCCTAAAAATAAAGGCTGTATTCGTAGTGGTGGCGGCGGCGGCGGCGGCGGCGGCGGCCAATCCAATGAATCTAGAGAAAAAAATTCAATTGTTGACGAGTAGGTCAAAAAGGGGGCAGCCATGGTACTGGCAGAGGGGTTATTAACTGTCTGAAGCGCAAATTGGCCAGATCAGACGACTGACTGTTAATGAGTTCGAGTAACTCTCTTACGCTGATATAGTAGACGTTGAACCTGGCGTCAATATATGAAACATTTTATAGGTATTTTTCTATTACAAAAAGCTCAGATGGTAGTATTTGTTGTCCGGGCATTGAGCTTATGTTTTTCTACGACGTTATTAAACCATTGATGCGAGGCCTCCTTCAACTCCGGCACGGAAACCTTTGTGTTTTTTTTTATTTTTTCTTAAAACTATTTCTAACACGAATTTCCGTCAGTTATTACTACTGTTGTTGCATCCGTTCTTGCAGTTTTCGCTCATAGTTTATCTTCTTCCGTGCTCTCTACTGTATTTATAAAGCACACTTGGAGATAGGCAGAAGTGGATCTTTAATAGCTTCATTCTAATCGTCATTGCAATTATCATAATTATGAATTTCTATTTATTGTGCATACTTTAAAAGACGACGAGCTATGTACGGTACGGTATCGTAACTACTACTTCTATCAATAACTTGACATTACATTGACCACAGTTGTGTTGATGGAACTTCATGCGACAACCGACGCCCTTACGTTACGTAACATGTATTTTCCGTACGGATATATACATAAGGAAGAATGTCTAATGAACTATGTATTGTTTATTATGCTGTGTCGTTGTAAATAACAGTAGGACTCTTGGCCTGTTATAAAATCAGAACAGAGGGAAGACGGTTTGGAACATAGCTGAACTTGTTAATTCTTTTAATCACTCTCACTAAACAAACCGAATATGATGTCAATTAATTATATATTTCCCTAAGTATTGTTATTATCTATGTGATACTATAATAGAAAAACGTAAATTGATTAGTAATATGTTATTAAAATGTGATGCGAATATTTGTAAGTTTAATTTCCATAGAGCTATTATGACAATCTTTGAATAATTTGAAAAAGTTACGTTTTCCATTATAGTAATTACTGTTTTTTAATAATTATTACTAAATTTAATATATATATATATATATATATAAATTATGGTGAGCACTCGAATTAGCAGTCTATTTATCTAATAAACTGAATAACTTGAAATAAAAGCTTAAAAAGAATGTATTGCTTTTAAGCTAACAGACACATATTGCCAAGTAATAACAAATCTATTGATGGAAAATCATCTTAGTTTAACTGTTTTTGTCTTTTGGCATTGCAGAAGAATAGCCCGAAAGCTAGGAACACATTTGCGCTTGTTGTCCAGCAACGCGATTAAAATTCTCTACATCGTCAATTCTCGGTGCTTTACAATATTTACCCACAGCCCTAATTTATAATATTATGGTTTTTCTTTTTATAATAAATACTCAATCCGTTCGCTGGTTTAGTGTGTAATAACTGTCGTAACATACGCTTGTACATATCACACAGGCGGAATGCTTCGGAGGCCGAGGAGGCATCGTCAAAAATTCAGCAATGCGTTATGTGTGTGTGCCAATTCTTGTGTTTTTCTGCATTTCTTCTTCTGTAAGAAGAAGAAATGCAGAACCTCGTAGAAACCCTTCAGAAACCTCGTACTTTGCCAAGAGGAAATCGGATAACGGTGAGTAACGGTGTGTACTCCAGGTTCAAAAGGGTAAGCGATGTCCATGTGTATTTTTTTAATATATAACTTCGCACAGCTTACTGCCTCATCAAGACGGAGAGCTCAAGATGAATATCTTTTCTTATTGGGAGCGGTGAAGTACATAGCAAACGACGACGACGACGACGACGACGACGACGACGACGACGACGACGACGACGACGACGACAACGACGACGACGACAGATGCCTGTCTGTCCTTACGGAAATCGTTTTTCGCATGATCGCGGTAAAAGCCGTCAGCATAAATAGGATAGAATGTATACGCAGTCGCTAGGGCAAAGAATAGCCACACGAACTGCCTACATTTTTCGACCGCACTTTTATTGGCTACCTATAAATATATAATCATAAAGTACCCAACATATTTCCACTAACCGCATGCGGGTCAAGAGGCAATAATTTTTTTTTTTATTTTCTTTTCTCTATTATTTCTATTTTTCTCTTTTATTTTCTATGACTCAAACACCTGACGCCTCGGGTATTGATGTCAAATGCCAACCTAATTGTTACTGCCTTTGCATACAATGCTACGGAATAAGTAAATACATTTTGTACATATTTTACAAGCCAAGTCAAGCACTCGGTGGTATCACTCCGAGGAGGCTGAGGTAGGCGTCACTTGACCTCCATTAACTAGTGCTGGAAAACGAAATTCTGGGTTATTCATCTTGCGGTGATGAATCAATGCCGATATGAGTAGAATCGCAGCAATCTAGACCCAGGCTCCTTTTCCGCACTCCGGCAGGGGATAAGGTTTACGCAGTATTTAGTTGGTTTGTTTTATAACGATAAATCTTAACTATGTTGCTTTTTTTGGGTCATTGGATGGGGATGTTTTTATATCCCGTTTTAGGTCCGCGTATTTCTAAGAGATTTGCAATAACGAGCGTTAATTGCTCACGGATGCCTGTGCATGATAGAAGGATTTAACTGTATTATCCAAGAGCCTGACTGACTTGGTAAAATCGTGGCATCAGAAAAAGATACCAGCATCGAGCTATACTCAGGAATCTGTACATAAATTACATGATTTCGGTTGACCCATATAATATTGTGCTGATTGACCACATAATATGAAGACCCCATTCTTTTAGCAAGGGAATGTCATCCGATTACATCCGAAATAGCTCTACGCTGAGAAACAATAACGAATGTGCGTATCATTTTGAGTAGAATTTAAAAAAAAATGGCTGCACGGTCCCGGGACTTTGCAAAGACGTTGATACTTTTCTAGATTAAAAGCAATGAAGAAAAGGAAGAACCCTATCTGCCAACCAGTACCATTCACTTTGGTTTTCACTAGGAACAATCTTCGTCTGCTGAAATTCGTCGCTGCCTTCGAAATTTCTCCTTATTGCATCGATAAGAACGTGCGCTTATGGCACACTACTTGGGAACGCCCTCTTTCTTTTAGGTGTCACGATTTTAAGGTATCGGCCGTATCAAGATCGGGCACGAAGCAGCCCCTACGTTTCGAGTCGTTAGGTATTCCATCGGGTGGCTTCTAGCACGAGACGAAGTGCGTCTACGACCGGATTTGAACCCACACCACAACGTGTTGCTAAGATTAGCAGGCGAATACGCCACTAAACAATCATGGCGGCATCCCAATGAACTTAGTGTCCTTTCATCTAACATTTCTAGCTAGCGCCAGTTTGTTACGCACCTCGCAGTGGTTCATATCGTGATCTATATATTTTCTATAATTTTTCCTGTTTTCCCTCTTTCAACGACAATAACAAGCTTTCAACTTGCGGTGACCTGAGGTGGTTCCACAGACACGAGTGCGGCGGTGCCTTCGACAGCTGGTTCCACTGGAGCTGCGAGTTGTTGTTGTTGTTGCTGCTGCTGTTGTTGTTGTAGTTGTTGCTGATACAGATGCGTGGCAATCGCATTGAAATGTATGAGAGCTGCTAGGTCGACGCAAATGTGCCAAATGGCGTGAGCCAACGGAATACGGCCATCGAGCTTGAAAAATATTACGCCCACGAGGTAGAAGAAACCACCGAGCGCCAATTCGCCAATGCCTGTAAGTGGACGCTGCATCAAAAAAGCGACAGAGAAAAATCGAGCGAGAAGAGCTATCGGATGGTTAGATGGTCCTTTGAACTGGTCGGTTGGATTTGAAAAATAACGGTTTTGGCATCACCACGCGCAAGGAGCCTGATCAATGAATTACGCAATATGGAACGATACATATTGAGGTGATTTTTTTTCTTGCAAATACGATCGCAAGCTTATTACTTATCGTTTGAGCAGGATGTGTACGACATGCAAGTTTAATCAAATATATATATATATATAGATATTGTTCTACTCCAAGCATAATTACGATATCGCGATATATTATAAATTATCGTGACGCCTAATAATATAGGCTGAGGAAAGGTCGAGACAGGTATCGAATAAAATGTCCTGCCCAACAAAAAGAATTGCAAACGCTGAGTGAGTATTTGCTGCAGTCGATGTAGCTGCTTGTTAACATAAGATCAATTCTTAATGAAGATTCAACTGGATATTTTTAACATCTTGTAACGTTTGCACTGAATAGATACAAATTGTGATAGTAATATTATGTTGGATCAGATATTAACTATCTACTATCAGATATTAATTAGTTCTTATATGTTATATGTAGGTAAGCGACAGAAAACGACTGAAGTGTGCTAAATAACGGATGTCGCCTGACAGACTGTGCAAGCTAGACAGCAGGCAAACAGCATGGAAGCCCTAATTGTGTTTTTCTTCAGTGGGCGGTCATTACGGAGATATTTGAAAATATATACCGCAGTGGATGCGGCCATTGGAAACGGAAAATATCGATGGGATTTAGCGATCCTACATGCAGACGTAATCTAGACCCAATTTGGGTATAATCTACGGCTGCTAGTGGCACGTGCTGGTTCATATGATTATTACGTGATTAGGATAATTTCGCTTAATACCATGAACCTGCCAACACCCAAGGAAATGCTAAATGTAAGTAAAAATTCAGACATTTTTGGTAAACCTCACCGAAATGATCGTTAATGCTGCAGGGATGAAGGCAATAAATATTAACATGGCACGAGCTGAGCTCGACTGTGTTCTTGTCAATGGGACACGCACTGAGTACTGAGATTTACCGTGTAGGGATAAGCACAGCTACAAAATGTCGAAATCGTTATGAGGTTGAGGTGCGCCTGTACAAACCATATTGAGGACGGTCGCTATTGGAAATATAGCGATGGAACAGTACATGATGACGCTAAATGTCTTGTACTTTTCGTGGTATCGTCGTTGATACAAAATTCCAGCGAAACAGGAAATCCAGATCAGAAAAATCTGGCTACGATCCCATAGAGTGTGGAAGTCTTTGAGCATAAGCCACGGTGTATACGACGATGCAATGAAGAAGTAGATCGTCGAGCGGTCCAGCCGATGTAATGAGCGCTTCAAATCTCTGCAATTAGATAAGCAGAACACCAATCAGGCTAATGATAGATCCTGGATTAAAACAGTTGTGGTTAGATGAGCTACTAACTATTTCGTTCAACAGAGCTAAAGGGAAGACATTTTTTCAGAAAAAGATTGTGCTTATGGCCAGAAAAGGCGATGCTTTGCAATAACTATCTGCCAAGTTCAGAGATTACGGTGCGTCTACGATGAGCACATATGAAGCTCTGTCTAGGAGCGAGGAGCTATGCTAACGATATGCGTGCCGTCCTTCAAATCAGTTTTACCGGCACGGTTCTGGTTTAACTAGTCATTCACGGTAAATTTTGATCCACGACAATAAATATCGCACCGTGGTTTTGATGCTGTTTCGTCTGAACGAAGCGTGATGTCGCGAAAACTTTTTACAAAAACGACAACGATGTGTGGTCCAGCAAATACGGTGTCTTAGTTTGCTTTGACGTATATATACATACGCGTATGCGTAATAATCTAGATGCTTCGGTTTCTTTACAAAATTAACATTTGTGTTCGAGAAACACACATGACCTCAGTTCATCCTGGCTCATTGAAGCTTCAGAGCAATGCCACTCAATAGTTTGCTAAAACGTTCCTTTAGAACGGGTAAAACTATGGTAGTATAGCAAAATTGATCATTTCTTTTTATACTATTCGACAGAAATTCAGAGAAATTTTGTCAAAGAAAAATTCGTATCCGTATATAGCCTTGTCCCGTACAATCCCCTATACATATATATGGGGCTGGAATTAATCTTTAACACGTTGAAGCGGTTGGCACTTATTTATATGAAGCACTTATTTGTGCTTAATAATAGCGATATAAGACTGAGAAATTGCACAAATAAAATGTTAGAGAGAAATATTGCTCATCAAACATTCCGGTTGTTCTCCTCCGTGGAACCAGTGCTATATGAATATTATATATTGACAGTTCTGTTGACCATCTTATATTGTTAAATAAGCGAGTAGCGGGGACGGATCGTTGATGAGTAGGGTTAATTAAATTCTATAAATTAGTTACTACCTCCATGGCACCTCGTAGCACAGCAATGCCCAATAGCTCTAGCTAGACCTAACTACGCTAAGGAAAATAGGCCAGCTCTGCGTCCTACAAACGAGTGGCTGCATGCATCCTAGTTTAGACTGCTCACTGTAATTTTCCGCAGAAAAATATCGAATGGAAGATCGTCGACACAAGAAATAGCGCTATAAGAGCGGAACCATAGAGGATGGCGCAGATTTGTTGTCCACGGGACTCCGATTCGTTAAGTAGATGCCACATCCCTTTGTAGCTCGGCACCACCGCTAGCTGCAAATTATGCAGTAAACAATAAATACAACAAGGATAATTTGTTATAGACATATAATCGAGTTTTTTTTCTTTCTTTTTCGTATATATAACGTTGTTGCATATGCGTGAATGCCGCTATTTAGTGGCTGACAAGATATACTTTGTGGAATAAAAAAATCTTGCGCATTCAACGATCATGCTCATTACTAGAATTATTGGTTTCACGGATCTGCTAAGTGTTGTGAGATACTTTGCTGATACTCAGGATTGTTTTTGTTTGGGAGTGAAGTTCCGACGTTTTTGCAATGATAACGAGATCTAACTTTAACCTGTCAGAGAAATCAACGAAATGTTTGTTCATCTTGTCTATACCATTTCGTATTCATTAGCTACTATGGGCCGCACATCGTAGAGCAAACGAAGTAGAGTATTCTAGCATATGTATATACTTATATATCGTTTCGCAATTTTCGTTGAGGCACTGCTATTATGGATGCTGAATTGAAATTTACAAGCTAACAGTTGACTATGATGAGAACGGCGATATACAGTCTCGGAAAGCTGTTTTTGGGATCTATTGGTTTTTCAACTACAGCTGCCTTTTTGTATGCTGACACTTTTATATAACTCGCCGTGGACGGTGTCTAACGATAAACGTATCCCCATCGGCAAGCCAGAAACAGCACACAAAATTATAATACTAACCAAATGCGTAACGACGTTAGCAATGTGCTCTATCTCGGTGGGCACGTATGGCTCGTCCGGCCGAGGCGGGGCGTTCATCCACCTGCAACAGTAGCAACGATGCCAGTAACACGGTAAGCAAAATTTTCAGCTGTCTTTCAAATAAGTGATTCTTTTTTGCAAGATTCATTCTGGACCAGTGCTGGCGGTCTTGTAACCAATACCACACCCTTAAAATCCAGCTACAGTCTTGTAGTTACTGTAGTTTCCGAAAGCTATCCTATGGTACACATCTTTAGAATTGTACCACATCATACCGATGTGACAAATGCAGACAGACGCCTCTTGTATATACCGAAGAAGTTGACCGTTTTCGGAGAAATAAAAACACAGAATTTCTTTCAGACTCAGCGCCGCTATTAGGGAAGTATAAACTATTCAAATCGATGTGTTTCAAATGTGGGTGTTTTAGATTCTGCTACAAACAGCTTCTTCCTTTTATTAATTACAATACATTTATTTACATCTGTTTATATGTGCATTGCAGTGTTTGCGCTGTTGTCAGGCGCTACCATTTAGATCTTAAATGATAGAGATTTCTCGAATTTGCTGCCTGAAGGGACCTAATTGATCTCGAAAAAAACAGGCCCAAGTTAACCCAAGGAGATCCGCGGTCATATGATAGGAGTTAGTACCATAGGGCAAAAAAATAGGTTATTCTTAGACCAGTTGACCAGTCCTTGGTTAGACTGCGAACGAGGTACTACTGATTTTACCTAGAAACATTCCTCTTTTGAAATAGCACTAAAATTCCCTTGGGAGACATTTTATAATTTGTGGTCTCGGTAAGATGGCTGTTTTAAAATATGCAGTATTACCTTACTGTTTCCAATGGGCGTTCTACATTATAGGTAAGCATTAAGGACACAACAGACAAGTGTCAAATGTATTTAACAGACAGACTAAGATTAATTAAAATTAGTGTAGGACCAACTTCATAATTACGCTTAATAAAGAGAGCTCTAGCTTTCTGTAACTTTGGGGTTCCACGTAGACGCTCTCAAATTAGCCCATCTTTCTCTGAGTATGAGTGTTTGTGATCTGTGCGAAGTTCTAAGTTATTATAATCTAGCCATGGGGGTTCTCACACCTCCTGTTACATTAACATACTTTTTATTCTTATTATTATATATTATTAACCATATACGTATGAGTTGGCATAGAACAGAGCCTGGAACCTAAAAACAAACGACTATTATTATGCTACTAATAATTAGTCAGATTAGAGCGCACAGATTGCGCAGAGATCTACTGGCTAACTAAGGACTATTTACGTGAAACTCTAGGTTTACGGGCCCTTAGGCCTACTAATCAAATTCAATGAACCTATTGAATTGATAGTACATTTCATTTTTTTAGTGGATTTATCGTATATTGACTTTTTGATTGACTCGTACATTGTCTTATACAAATAATAACAGATGTATAAATATGATAGTTTGTCTGCGGACATTTGAATCCACGGTTGGCCAAGTATGCCAAGCAAGATCGATTCTACTACTAATTTTTTCAATTAGTTTTATTATGCAACGGCATAAGCATTGATTGAGGAAGCTTAGTTAGTAATAATATGTCGCTGCACCTCACATATTTCAATTTCAACGAATTTCCTTTTCCTTTCCATTTTTCTGACTAATACTGTACACTCATTGGCGCGCCTTACATCAGGCCTGCAACGAAGCCTATCTGCTTAGTTCGCAAAAACCAGCGACAACATAGGGTTCATGCAACTTTCATAAATAAGATCTCAGTGCTATGATGTGAGGAACGGTTACCGGTGTGCTTTTGCCGTGTCGCAATCAGTATGCCTTCAGTCATTGCTAAAAACGCTGAGACACATATTTGACCACATACAGGAGCGGCATACTCATCAGTTATGTTTTTTTTACACCGCTAATTTATGTGACGCAAAATATTCCATTCACTTAATAGCATTCAAGTGTATTATATCCTTCAAAACAGACAATATACGGGTAAACGTGCGTTTATCTGACCATGATACTCAACGGCAATTCGTTTTACACGGCCTAGCAATGATGATAACCAAATACGCCATGTGATTTCTGGTATAGGCTGATGTAATGCGTACCTAGTCGTGTACGCAGTTCAGGCCTACTACCATAAGTTTATCAAATGTAACCGATACTCTAAGCAAAGATTCCCAACCAATAGACCAAGAGAGCGTTGCCCATGCAACGATAATAATATCAAAATCAACCTAATCGTTTGCCGGAAGGGGATTTCGATTGGATCTATTGACCAGTCATACTTAAACAACAGCAAAACTCTTGCACCTAACTGTTTTCTCTATAATCACTAAACGCAATCGCTCGTAACAGCCACAAGACTGGCTAAGCCCTCCAGCGATCGGAAGCAGGTCGACCGCGATCGTCACATGGGTTCGACACAAAGTGTACAGAAGGTCATCGCATGATTAAGATCATTATGTTTATTTAGCGGACTCATTCATTTTCACGGCACCACCACAGTCGATTGGTGCGCCGCAGCCAAGGAGCTTAGTTAGGGACCATGGTGAAGTTCATGACGAGTGAATGAACTTTAAAAAATTTTTTAATTACGCGCCGCTAGCAGACGAAATTTGGCGGATAAATGTTCCAGTTTTCTGGAAACTAGTTAGTGAAAACCAGTTGAATTTACTCCAGGAAAAGTAAGTTCAGAAGGCAAACCTCCTTTAGTCTTGCTAGGCAATGTTTGTTAGTCGAGTTTTTGTATCTCTAAGACCGCAGTACTGTGGAAATTCATCGAAAATCGGCGAAGACATAAAGCAAGGGAACTTCAGGCAAGAGCACAGTACGTGAGTGGTGCACAAATTTCAGTTACGGAGATTGAAGTGTTGAAGACGAGAGAAGTAGTGACTAGATATCAGGACCCGAAGGACAAGAAGAGAGGCCACAATCGAGCAGGCTTTTTATGAGAGCAGAATTTGGCGTCTGAGGACTCATTCGGCAAAATCTAATATTTCACATGTAATTTGTAATGGAGTTATAACCCATACACTGAAAATGCGTAAATTGAGTAAAAGATAAGTCTCTAATGAATTGACTCTACGCCAGTCGAAGATGCGTGCGGTACACTCATCTGCAAGTTTAAAGACTACAACAAAACACTTTCCTGGAGCAGATGGTCGCGGTAGACTTGACATGGCTCAATATAGATCGCTAGCCGGAGAGGAGTTAGGCGAGAGAACGGGGTCACCCTTGAGAGAATTTCAGTTCAGTGCCAAGTACGTTTCAAAGCAAGCTGAAGGTAGTATTTGCAATGGACTTAAGGAGCACTTGGTTCTAAAAGATAGTCGTCGAAAACGAAACAGCGCCTTCCTAGAGCGATTCATGAGGCTATGGCATGGTAATCGAAAACACGCAGTTTGGTTACTTGATAACAACGTCAGACTGAATTAAGCAAAGAAATATTCAACACTGACTACAACACACTGGTTTTCTCGATCTAAATCCGTGTGACTAAGAGGCTTTTAACAAAAAAAAAGCAATTGCTGGGCAAGCGTATGTTACTTTCGATTTACTTCGGGAAGTCATAGATAGAGGAATTACATATAGGAAGACGAATTGTAGGTACTCGTCTGGAAGCTGCCAGATCACTGGAACAAGTGCATCAAAAATAAAGGAGGATACCTCTATCACATATTTAAAAGCCTTTGTTATAGTCCCATTAGTTTGAACAATGTTTTATGTCAAAGTTTTTCAGATTCCTTTGTAAAAGCCTAACGACACTAATGATAATAATAATAATACTGTTAAAATACATCTCGATCTTTTCATTTATACCTGATTTAAGGCTAGGTCTTTTATACTGCCGTTCCGGTTCCTGTATCTATTACACCGTTAAGTGCCTTAATATGGTTTAATATATACTCTGGATAACCTTAATTTCTAACCTTTTTTTTTTGCCTGCGTTGTAGTATCGTAAGAAGTATCGAGAAAAACCAGCTGCTAGCGGATCTCGCTCTTTTAGGTTCTGCTTGCGTACACAGTCACCGCACAGTATAAACCGTGGAGCAAAATTTGGAACAAGACTAGTTAACACTTATCAGGTATTTATTTACCCGCAACATATGCTTTTGCCAAATCAGATTTTTTTTTAAAATTAATAACATGTTATGCATTAGAGATGAAAAAAGTCGTCTGTTAACAGACGTTGATTCTAATGCGTACGCTATATAATCCCCCAGAGCTGCTCAGAAGCTGCTAGACTTTTGCGAAGCCATTCCTGTTATAAGAACTTGCTAAAGGATTGTGCGCTTCTGTGCGCTCAAGCATAGGAACTCCCGCTTCCGAAAACTGTTTGGCTTAGTGTATCCCTTATTCGATTTGCCTCCTTGTGTGCGCTTATATATGAAGTCGGCTAAAAGGCTATTTTTCCTAACTTTGACTAAGGCCGCCCTAATTTTTCTAATATCTATAGAACCGACCACAATCATCTTCTTCGAAAAATCCTCATAGACATTTTATCAATTCTCGATTTTTTTCCTTTAATCCTATAGCAGTTGGCCGATTCCGACTGAGCGAGCTACCGTGCAAGAGACTATAGCGTTTCAGTTAGTATCTGAACCTATCCTTAAGAGCTCCTCGAGAAGTTTGCCAACTTGTGGCCACTTCGAAGCTACTTCCATTACTTTAAAATGTATTTCCTCTATGTAGAAGTTCCATATAATATTTGCAAAATCGATGACTACAAACGGCATAAACGCCCAGTTGATGTACGTCTGCCACAATGAGCAATAAGCTCATAACGACCGTAGGGTTAGGACCAAACTGTAGTGCTGCTTGTTTAAATGTTTCGCATTAGCAAGTGCGTAGAGCAAGTACATGTCATAAACGGGATCAAACGTGTCCATGTTTCAAATCCTATACCCTTGCTACGTTAGCTGGCCAGTACTTCCAGCTACTAGTTTTAGCGCTACCATAGGGCTAATCTACTTTAAACTGTTCACTTCAGTAAGCCTTTTACGATCATCATATGAATACAGGAAAGTTCAATCAAAAATGCAAATATTCCTTAGGTGTCGTTAAGGTTAGGTCCAGCTAGTCAGAAAAGCCTGTTTCCGTGATAGCTTAATAGGGAACGTCGTTGCCTCGTAATCTTAAGGAGACGTCGTGGTATATGTTCGAGCCTGTGAATAAACGCACTTCGCGCTGATGGAATGAGTGACAGCGATACTGGACGTAAAACTCGAAATACACGGGTTAGAAAAACCGACGTGCCAGAAAAATGAGCTATACACGAAGTATATACGTTGTATAGTTTTTACGTAAATGCCATGTCACGACGCTTACGTAGAGAAACACCAAGCTGCCGCGTGATTGTAACCACTTCACCAGTAGATTTCCACATGCTTTAAATAAACAGTTTTAAAAACTTTGTTTTTTTTTTCTCCCTGATACGATACACTAGCAGAGAAACAAAAGGCATACTTCCATTTTTTTGCTACCAACATATCGTATGTGAAACGCATGGCGTATAGCGCAGTAATAGCAATAAATGCTCGCTAAAGCTTGAATTTAGCCCATGAAAATACGACATCAGTTATCAGCCGGTCGACATTATAGGCCGTGATAGAAAAGGAAGTGCAGAAGTGGCCCTATTTACCGCTTCTAAAAGCGATCGTTTTCGACCTATGAAAGAGGAGAGCTTGTTGTGACATTGGCCTTAGCTGGCTAGCTTTTGTTTAGCACATCTACGGTTGTGAACTGCATCTCCAGATAAGAGTAACGACATTCCTTTATTGTGCTATTCAGTTAAATTTGTCTCATATTGAGACATATATTTACACGTAGCGATTGGCAGAGTTATTTATGGTAATAACGTAACGGGTCAGTCTTGACTCTGTTTAAATGGCTGAAGGTACTCTTAAATTATACTGTTGTTAGGACTACACGGAGTAATAATATCGCTTTGGCCTTTGGCGTCAAAGTTTACATGCTTCTGACTTTTCGCTCAAATGCAATGCATAGGTATGTAAAAAAAAATTTGTCTTTTCTCTTTTTGAAAACATTTTTTGCATTGTGTGTGTTCTTCTTCCTGCACCAAAGTAATTCGCTCGCAGTACTTATTACTAAATGATAACAATGGTGGAATTATTTTGCCTAACCTGTAAATCGCGATTCGCGAGCGTAAGTTGCTAAGTTTCCCTGGTCTGGTCAACTTGAACAGATAGCCAAAATACATTACACGCAAATCGAAAAGAAAAAAATATTTTGATAACTTTATACATTTCCTGCTCTACCTGATCTTCATCTTTTACTCAATTCGCTCGGTTTACCATAAGAAGCCTGCAATCGTTTTCTGTTGCTGGTGCCGTTGTTAAAACAATAATTGAGATATTTAAAAGGCCTTCACTTTGCCGCGCCTCAGCTAAATGGGACCGTGCCTGCTGCGAGAGGCTGCTGTTGGCCTGAGGTCTGTTTTGGGTGGATCACTCACTGAACAGAAGACTGTCTCAGTCATTTTTATCGGTCATAAGGTCGCAGGCTAACCTTAGTTGGAACGCCGACTTAATATCGTCTACTACCTAGGCTTGCTTGGAGATAAGATCTTTCATTATGCATCTTGCTTAAATCTCAAAGAATAATGTGCGTAAGCATCTGGTATTGGTTAATTAAGTGATGTAGTTATTTTTAGAATGGTCGCAAGCTATACAAAAGATTATGTCTGTATGCCCAAATGTTATTGCGGAAATCTTTTGTTATTAGTTTGTGTTCATGGTAACGTTTCAACAGTCCCATCAAGGGTTTACAATTAAGGCGTAGGAAAGGCATTCTGTACAGCATATATTACTCGTACTAAAAAGGGTTTCAGATCAAAGTGATACATTCATCGGCCTTACATATTCACTCTTCATCCTTTGTTTTTTGAGTGGGCCCAGAAGGGAAAAAACAGGTGGGTGGCTAGGTTGTTCCGGCAGAAGAATACACACACTTATCGACTTACTTACATCTATAGTTAGAGTAACGAATTTACGCATTTTCCAACACCTCAGCTGTTCTTCAGTTGAGCGTGGCGCTAGTTGTAGCGGCTCTAGTCTTGTTGGCATTGTTACGTTTCAGCTAGTTCGTACGAAAAAGAGCTGTCTTAGAGAATTGTCCGTCTGGTGAGCATCTGTTCTGTCTAATGGCTCTGCCCAAGGTACAAAATGCAAATCTGTCTGCGTATCTACGTACCTAAGCGTGATCATTTGATGCTTGCTCTCTTTTTGTCACACAGGTCGAGACAATACTACAGCCGCCGTTGTTCCTGTCACAAGAGCGTTGCAACGCCGGTGTTTGCAACGGGGCTGTTCTACGTATAAGGGTTCTTCTTCAGACGCAGATGCACATGCTTAATACCAACAGTATCTCTCAAACGATGGCTGTGAACAACCACATCTCACGACGCAGCTGACTGGTTTACGAGGGCAAACAGAAAGTAGTACTATAGCGCAGCAGCGGTCTTAGCATAAATGTTACCAGAAGGTTCGCTTACTCTAACGGGACTGGGAAATCTGTCCGGACGGCATCGTGATCGACTTGCTCAGAATACTACGGCTTTAACACTGTAGAATAGATAGTCTTAATGGCGCAGAACTGTGAAGCACCGCGACAATCCAAAATGCCCTTGACCGTGGGCAGGCCAGTATAGTTTCCGTGAGAATGTGTGATGTGGCCTGGTTACAAGAAGGGTAAAGAAGGGTATCTCCTAAGTAGTATGGTAGCAGCAACGAAAATTTGGTAAAAACAAAGATACAGAGGTTGAATCGGATAACAGCGAACCGCTACAGTAGGAGCTGAACGGCGGAAAATACATTACTACAACAGAAGTAAATGATGTATCTGGAAGACTTTTAAAATAAATTGCTAGTTTCTCAATTTATATATACACTATAGGTGTCGTTAGAAAAAGAATAAGGGCAAACACGAAGAGAGCAGATCTGTTATGTCCTAGGTAAGGCAGAGCAAATCCTCGAAAGACGAGAAAACATTTAACCATAGCTCTACTAATTTTTTAGTGATTCCTCGATAACTTTTATGTTGGCAGCACTTGAGATAAGTGCCCAAACTTATTTGAAAGCTAGATTATATAGATGAATTTACTCGGGTATTTGCTAGGGAAAAATTTCAGCAAATCACTTATTGACCACTGTTAACATAACAAAGGCCACTAATAACCGACCCGGACATGGTGTTCGTAGACAATTAAAGGCACAAAGCAATTCATGACGTCGATTATAGAGTATGTGCCACAGCCCTGCGATAGCCTTTCAGTTACCACGGTAAAATGACGCCCATTGTTTATACCTGCACCTAAGGCTGACCTCTTTCCGTATTGCTAGCTGTCGAGTAGATCGTATATTTGCATACTCATATAATAACCGAGAAGTGTTCAACGGGCTTTTAGGGTTGAGCGGTTATTCATAAGACGGTTGTACAACTGCGGGATGAACACTACAGCCTGAACATTTGTCCTTTGACGAGGCGGGGAAGTAGAAGTTGTTATCTACTGCAATTGATCGATGGTGCTTATAGTAGGGACCATAATTAAACTAGGAATTCCAAGCATACTATTAGTATTGAACGTACCGCCCCCATGTCATTATTTTACGGTCTTCTTGATTGTGTCCTTCTAGGCCTTTGGGGAAGCAACGCGCGGTCGCGCTCTTCTCCAAGGCAATAATAAAGTAAAAAATGCCCACATTATTTGCCAAATTAAACTTGCCTTACTTGAGATCTACTCAAATTCAACCACCTATCAGTGGAACTAGTTCTGTGCGTACCTTCAACGAATAAGTAAAAACAAACTTAGGATAAGGCCGACGCATGGTTGCTAAATCTGCCGTCCTTAACTAGCAAAACAAATGCAATTTCTAAAAATAACTTAGAACTATTTCATACGAAAATTACATTGAACTATAGTGTCGATTCGTAGGAGTACCGTCACATTACTTTCTATTTTAAAATTCCGCAATAGAGCAGATCGTTAACCGCTTAAAAGAATAGATAATCTCAGATTGATCAATAACTTCCTTATTACTGTGCATAAAGTTAATCTGTATGTCGAAAATAACTATCGAAACCTGAAAATTGATCGAACGAATGAAATTTCCTTATGGAGACTAGAACACAACGGAAAAGGACATATATTTGGTAGCAGGATATAAGAATTTACACGTCTAGGTTCGCTTGGTTTATCTTAATATTTTATTGAATAAGAACAATATCTCATAGAGAAGTCGAAAAGTGCATCAAAGATAATAATGAAATAACAATAGTCAAACATATTTGCCCCTCTCTGATTAAATGAATCTGCATCCGGCTCAGCATGGTAGCTGTAAAAGAAAATACGTCGTGTTCTTGTAGGTCTTTTAGTAACGAGTGGCAAATATGCTCTATACATGATTGCATTCGATTGAGTTGATTTCAGAACGACACCTACTTGATGTGCCCGAATTCTCTAACGACACGCTCCCGGACGCAGCACATGTGCTTGACGAAATAGCGTGGCCAAGTGGCACGCTCTGACGCCCCTACAGACTGCTTCGTCGACACCGGACTAGACCTAACGTCATTGGTTCCGGTCAACATTTTAGCTGTTGCTGTCACTTTCGCCTGCCTCTGACGTTGTCTTCGTACAATGGGGCTTGCTATGAACGCACCGGAATCGGCGATACGTTTCCTGGTATCATCGGGTCCTGTGTTATTGAAGAAGCACCAGAAACCTCATCGATTTGGAGCTATATAGTGACCTACCTTGTTGTATACCTGTAAGCTAAGAAACGCAGCGGTATACTACCGCCATTTACACATGAACACACATAGCTTAAGTCATCGAGCACTCTTCATTTGCTTTACTTGTCCAGCAAGGACATCGATTTTCACTTGACTTCTTTGTTGTGACAGCTGCGACGCCAGCAAAGCTGGACCACACTCACAGTATGAACGTCGTCGCCGCCGTCGCTGTCTCCACGACATTGATTTAGTTAACCGGAAACTCTTTCGACGGATCTACCAGTATTAAGCTTGAAGCCCTTTCATCGGCCACATATTAGTTACGCGCAGTACCGCATGAATTTAGCGCAAACGAAGTATAACTGGTGGATACGGTAGAATAGAATAGGGTTTCTTTGCTATGATCTCGTTCCTCTACTGCTTGTAAGATTCCTTTGTTCGTTGTGCAGTGCGACCTGTTCATCGTCGAAAACCGCGCGCGCTGCTACTCGCGGTACCAGAAAGCATCACGATGTACAACACTACCGTTACAAGCAACACCAGCAGCAACTAACAGCAGAAAGAGGAAGACTACCTGGACCACAGGCACCAGCGTGCTACCTGACTGCGCAAAGGCCTTCTCAGCCTTCGAGAGAGTAGCGGTAGATATATGAAGAAAAGGTAAGCGAGTTAGTGATCGAATAGGTAGCGGATGCAGCAGAGGCATCAGCTAGTCCTGCACACCGCGTCCGCCGTAAAGGCCAGCAACATCGTTACCATTCACACGAGCAGCAGCAGTAGTGATAGAACGGTCAACACCCATTGCTGCCGTGGGAGTATTACCTCGTTAGACATATACGTAAGACGGCTCACGTAAATGCATAGGTCTCTCAGCGCTGTCGCAGTTGATCAGGGCGGTTGGTGGAGCTGCTGTAGCAGTACAGAACAATCATGCTAGCACAGTGAATTAGCAAAAATCCAGACTTGTTGAGAACACCTTACTAATAGAGCAGTAATTGGCAGACCTCCGAATACCAATAGACGAATGGCCAGGTGAATAGCTGAGTTAAGAAGAATCAGAAGTCTGCGGTAGCCGTACTAAGACGATTGCATACCCTTCTCGAAGAACGCTGGTGCTGCTGCCTCGAGGAGGAAGGCCAAGAGGAGGCAGCAGCGAAGAGACGAACGTGGCGCCCCCTACGGAGCGCTGACGCACATGGAGGCACAGGAGCAGCCAGACAGCCGGTCAACCATAAGCGTCTCTGAACCGTGGCGGTCATAGGGATCTGTAAGGGAAAGGAGAGGCGATGCTTTTGTGGAATTGACTAGGTAAGTGATGGGGCTGATTGAGAGGTGGCTACCTTATATTTGAGGTCCCTCTTTTTCGTAGGGGAAGGGAAGTAGAAGAGCGGATTTAGCCCAGCGCAAAAAACATGGCCTGGAAATGGGGAATAGAATAAGATGGAGGTTTTGTGTTCACTCAGAACCAACAAACGGAATCGACAGCAAGGGAATCCCATAGATTTTATGTTGACGTTCGTTTTAGTTTCCTGCGAGTGTGCGCTCTCCATGTTGAATCCTTCTGGCTTAGCCCGCTAGTAAAATTAAGGGGGACAGCTCCGTATCCCTTTCTCGTATCCAGTAAGTTCGAATGGTCGTCATGAGAAGATCAGTATCAACAGGGGAGCACGACGCACAATTTGCGCGAGGGATAAGACTAAACAAAACCAGCAAAAAGAGACTCTCGCTGCAAAAGGTGCCGTGCTCATCTGCGGTTCCTGCAAAGCCACGCCAATGACCTTGAAAAAACATTGCATGCTCAGTGTATTGGCAAACATAGCGTGTACGAGCCTATTCAGCCTTGACTACATAAGTGAAGCTTACTACCGTTAATAATTAAACGTAATAAAAAGGTACGCCTCTTATTATCTTAGTGTACGTAGATATAATGGATCAAGGAGAGCCTTTACGTGAAAATTTTGCCGGAGTAAACGACAAAGATATATATTACATTAATTTAAGATAAACAGTTTCCTTTGTGGAAGAATATCGCGCATTGCGAACCATAACTGCCTTCATTCATTAGCCCTATGAGACCTTTAAAGACACAAAATAAGTATTAGACGTCGGTGATTGACAGGCTTCTATTTGTGGAAGATCATTGTCTAACTTTGTGATATTTATCATACTAGAAATTCGACTTTGTTATGATAAATCCATATCGAGTTCGAGTAGTATTTTCAGTTGGGTTAATCCATATTTCTAAATGAATGCCACCAGTGAATCCTCATGTCGATGCACTTCGGAAATGCTGTTTTGAAAATGCGCGTAAAGTTGCTGGCTCGGAAAAAAAATATAAAAAGTGAGATTCACAGCTACGGTCAGCCGCAATTAGATGACATAGAACATGTTGATCTTAAGCGATATAATCAATAGGCCAATTAATTACGATTAAGGACACGAAAGGTACTAACTGACGGAACCATTGATGAACGGATTGCGTTGCCATTTAATTCTAGTTCAAATTTTATCGTTAATAAGTAGTGACCATTGGTACGTTGTTACCATGCCGTTTCATAGGTCTGTTGGGAAATCCTCAGATAAATCCAGTAGGACTCATACCGACTAGACGTTTTAATAAGGACAGGTCCTTGATGCAAAATTACCGAAGTAATTCCGAGGACTTATCATGATCGTTCGCCAAAGGCGTTCGCTAAGAAAAGCACCAATTGATTCATCTAAGTACACATAGTGGAGCTTGTTGCCGTAAGGACCATGTGCCCTTTTCAACAACTGTGTTACCCGCCCCTCTTTAGGGCACCTTGATAAACCGACGATGTAATCCTCCTTCCCTCCTAGTACGATAATAGGGATTGTTTCGTTGTAGCATAACGTAGTGTTCTTTCCAACATTACCTCTATACTAGACAGAGAAGATCATGGCGTATGTTCAAATCCGGTAAAGTGCAGAGCTGTGCCGATAGTGACATTGGCCAGCTTATTGTTTAAACATACGTACGTAACTCTTCCACGTACAATGGCTTATCTAAAAACTCTACACATTCACGTTTGCTTTTTGAACAGATACTGACCCGAAATGGAGAAATTATAAATGAGATTACATATATACTTTCGGGTAGCTACGCGTAGTCCTTCCTACTATTGGCATCATTTTGAACCTTGTAAAACTCTAATGACGTATTTTGTTACTTAATAATTTGATGAGTTCTCGTTCTAGATATACGTTTTGTGAAACTGACCTTTTTCGTTAGCGTGGAGAGTTTGCCGATCTTTGCTGGAATCTTATTTTAAATTAGACTTCAGGACTTCTTCTGAATTTACAGGAAGCGCTAAATGAATTTATACGTTACTTGAATTTTACTGTAGCCAACCTCGTTGATATAATCGAATCAGACAAAGCGCGTCGCCAGAGACAACGTGAATAATTGTCCCTTATTGTACAGCCCAATGAAACAGCGGCCCTCCGGTGCAACAGATGTTGGGGCAATGAGTTTAGCCCTAAAATGAAAACCCTTCTTCTCCAGCATTCACAACTGAATGAACTAGGTCGCGCAGTCTCTACACTGACAACAATTAACATTGGGCTAGACAGAATATTTATGTTCATTAAGTTTTTAGAGCTACGCAGTTTGCGACTCACTGCTAACAACCACAATCTTTTTTTGATTATGTATACCGTGTATGACCGAGTTTTGCCTTAATTACCATCCGCAAAACATGGCGCTCAAGGCCGTTTTGAAATAGGTGGACGAAGTGACGCTTTATAGGGTGGTAAAACTAGGACAAGATAATCCAATAAATCAAGGTTTATTTAGGGATAGGATGCAAAGATTAGATTATTGAACAATATGCGTCCTTGTGCCATTTCGCGTATTCATAAATTTCGTTACCATCATTTTTTTCATGTAAAATATTCATATATAATAGCAATTCAGATCTGTTTGTCGTTTGATCTGTCTGTTTGTCGTTAAGGTTGGCAATTTTCCTTATGAATCAGGAAGCCCCTATAATTACCAATAGGTGATCATCAAAAAGGGGCTATTTGGTAATCTATTTGCTCATATGCTCCAAGGCGACCAACAGTAAGTTGTAGTCGACAGTAAGTAGATCAAACAAGAACATTCTTACCCAATGCAACATAAGCCGTTTAGAAATAAGAAATTTAAGGCAAGTTTTAGGTATCTCGGCCTATGCGAGAAGGACAAAGCCGTGTGTCATATAGAGAGAATCTACAACAAGGCAAATTTTATCCCTTATGGATACACATTTAGTTTTGATTTAAGCCGAACTAACTGCATGTAGAGCACACTTTTAAGTACCACAGTCACACAAGTTGTATTCGTTGTGAGTTTTGACTAGACAAAACTTTCTTTCTTAACCTCCGAAGTTTCTTGAGGCAGTACTTGCAGGCTGCACTACACTTGTCTAAACTACTATAAACCTTTGCCTTGAGGATTGCAAAAGCAAAAATGAACCAACGTTGCCATCATCATGGCGCAGAATTACTAAGAATCGCGTATGCTAAGGTTCCTCATTGGGCTCCCGACCAAGAAACTATTCGTCTTTTTAAAGAGTAGAAAAGCTGTACCGGAGAAACAACATCGACTCCGAAGATGGGACGCTACACCAGACACTAAAAAAGTGCTCAATTCTGTAGTTGATCTTACTTGAAGATTTTCCTCACAGAACGACGAGCTTAAGAAATTTGGTCTGCGTTGTCTCCCACGTGGATAACTTGGTAATCTATGGCCGTAGCAAATTCCGGGTACAGTAGACGCTGATTAGGCGCTAGTAACGGAACTGGGATGAAAGGTCAACCTGGGCAAGACGGAAGCCGTAAAACCTTGGAGCGAAGACAGAAACATGGCCGGCGGTATACT